AGCCCCTTGTGCTTCATGTCTGCCTGTTATTGAAACAGGCAGCTCCCATTGGTCGGTTTCTGGTCAGAAACCAGCCAATGAGATTGTGCTGGGGGTGGGAGCAGTTCCTAAAGCTTCCCCCCTCCCCTCCAGACTCACAGTTTTTGAAGAAAAACTGCCCCACAGCCACATTTCTGAATAGTGTGCAGATGGGGCGAGGCAAGCAGGGAGCCTGCCTGGGGTTCCCCAAAGTGTCTGCGGGTCAAATCCGGTGGCTTGTGGGTCTCAATCTGGCCCGTATTTTGCCCAGGCCTGCTGTTAGCCAATGCAGGTCATACTCCCAGTCTCTTCCAGCCTGCTTTGGTCCTGTGTGGGCTACAGAATACAGAGATAAAGATGATAATGCAGTTTGTGGTATGAAAGGATTTTTGTATCTGCCCTCACAACCCATTGAGTTCAGAGGCATACATTGCATCAATGGGGGAGGCGGAGCGCAGAGGCAACTGGTGCCTGCCAGGGGATGGAGAGAGGGGCAGATGATCACCAACAGGAAGAGGGAGGGGGCATGTTGTGGCAATGTATCTCTTGAGTATTACCACAAGTCACCTATGGGGTAGTGCATCCTTGAATCCAGGACTCTATGCTGCGTCTCTACCTCATCCAGCATGAAGTCGGACTTAACATACGTCATAAACATTTATTATTTTGTATGTTGGTTACTCTGTTTGGCTCTGGATTGCAAAGGCGTTCCATAAATACAACCACCCATTTATTCAAATGTGGAAGAGAACCAAGTGATAAGTGGATGCCAAAATGGATTTGTCAAGAAAAATGAGGTCCAGTCAATCTAATTTACGTTTTTGTTGGGCTAACCAGCCTCGTGAATGGAGGAAGCACTACATGTGACATACCCGCACTTCAGTAACACGTCCCACGTGACATGTTCATAAGAAAACATAAGGGATTATTAGCTAGATGAAATGATTACAAAGTGGGTGCACAACCAGTTGAAGGTCCATATTCATAGAGTAGTTATCCATAGTTCACCTTCAAACTGGGAGAACACAACGAGGTGGTTGTAGGAGTCCGTTTTGGGTTTAGCACTATTCGATGTTTTCATTCAGAACTTGGGGTGCATCTACACAGCAGTCTAAACTCGAAATAAGATACGCAGTTTGTGCTACTCAAATTGCGTATCTTATTTTGAAACTATTTTGAAATTTGGTGTGTTTACACAGCACCAAATTTCAAAATAACTCACTATTTCAAGCCATCCCATATTCCTCATGCAATGAGTTTTACTGGGATGGCGAAATAGCGTGTCCATTATTTCAAAAAATATTTTGAGATAATGGGTGGCTTGCGTAGACATGGGGTAGCTATTTCGGGATATCCCCGGTATCCTGAAATAGCTGCACAATGTAGGTGTACCCTTGGTGTGGAGAGTATGCTCACAAAAATGTACAGATAACACAAAGTGGGGGCACTTTGAAGGACAGAATTACAATTCATAATGACCTCAATACATTGGAGGACAGGTCTGAAATCAATACTACAAAATTCAGTCCAGGCAAGTACAAAATAATACACTTATGGAAGAAAAATCAAATGAACAAAAATAAAATGGTTAATGACTGGCTTCCTAGATGATAGCACTGCTGAAAAGGTCCTGGGGGAAATAGTACACTACAAACTGAATATGAGTCTACAGTGTGATGCTATGGCAAAAAAGGAAATGCCTTTGGGGGCAGAGGTATATTAATAGGAATCTGTAAAACACAGGAAGTGGAGTTTCCTGTTGACTTTCTCCAATTTGTTCCCATGTTTCTTAAAACTGGACCAACACAAAGAAGAAGTTTACAATTCATGATCTACGTGGAAAGGCTGAAAGAACTGGACATGTTTAATGAGAATCGTGGCCTTTTGTTCCCCATGGCCACCACTGTTCCCTGTAAGCTGAGCACGTGGGCAGCCACCCAGGAGAGTCAGGTGCCACCCAGCTGATAAGCAGAGCACACACAACTGGCAGCATGTGTCTCTACTGGAGGTGCACATCCACATATGCCTTGGTGCACAGCACAAAATTTATTCAGCATATGGATGGAAAAAAACTTAAGAGGGAACATTGATGGCCACCCAAAGATATCACAGAGAAGTTATTGGCTCATTTTGCAGCAAGGAAGTCTGAGGTTAGATATTAGGAAAAACTTTCTAACTATTAAGGATAGCCGAGGACTGGATATGTAGGGAGGTTGTAAATCTTCATTGTCCTACTGTCTGGAGACAGTCTGTCAAAAAAAGAATGGATGCCCCCAAACTAGTGGCACGTTCTATAATTAGATTTCACCCAGCCAGAAACAAAAGTCAAATCCTGGATCACTGGAACAGTCTGGAGTCACAGAGAGCCCCCTTAGGGTTTTCAGTTTCTCTTGCCATCCAGGCAAACTGGATTTAGTGGTAAATGGCCACTTGTAACAAAAATCGCAAAATATTCACATTGTTTCCAGTCCCAAGGGACCAGCCACTCACCACAAATGAACTGGTACCCTAGCCCTTATACCAAAGACAATACCTGTAGCCAATCCTGTAAGAATCCAAAGCTTTATTAGTTAGGACGAACAAATAAGAGCAAGCAAATATATACACACAAATGTGTTACTTTCTGTGATCCCTAAAGATGGCGGAGATGTGGTGTTTTGTCAATTCAAAGTGTCTTTCAGAGCAGCTCCAGGGATAACCATGGGTGTGTCTGCCTTCATTTAATGTTTCTGGACCTTTGAGAATTCAAAGAGCAAAGAGAAGAAAAACCTTCATGTCTACTATTTTTACAGCTGCTGTCTGAGTTACAAACAAGTTACCATAACTCGAAGTGTTCGTAACTCAGATCCCATAGAGTTACATGGCGACAGCGCTGTTCGTAAGCGCCAATCGCCGTTCATAACTCGGATCCGCATTTACAACCTCTTTGGTCATAATTGCGGATGGTCTTAAGTGAAGGTGGTCGTAACTCGGAGAGCGGCTGTATTTCCCACTTCCAGCAGTCAAATCAATGGAATGAAGCCTTCCGCACATATTGCTGTATGAGTAGATGGGGCAGTCAACAAAGCCTGTGTCTTATAGGGTATGTCTACACTACAGAGGGGTTTTTTTTCAGAAAAATGGCCGTTTTTCTGAAAAAACTTCACTTACACACACACTGCAATTGCATTCTTTCAAAAGAAAATCAAAACAGAGCAGTTTTTCTGGCATTGGTAACCCTCTTTCTACCAGGAAGAAGCCTTTTTCTGAAAGAGCTTTATTGGAAAAAGGTGTGCGTGGACACAGGGAAGAAGAAGTTCTGTCAGAAGAGGAAAGAGGAAAAAGCACAGGTGCCCTGGTGGCCACTCCATCCATAGTAATCAGTTTAAATGCGAGATAGCGTTCATTCAATGTGGACGCTATCTTTCAAAAAAGCAGATCACTTTTTCGATGCGCTTTAGCAGTGTGGACGCGCTCTCTTGGAAGAAGTTTTTTCAGAAGATCTTTTCCAGAAAAGCTTCTTCTGAAAGAAGCCTGCAGTCTAGCAATAGCATAATGACCCTCTGAATACTTGCTAGTCCTCCTGCATGGGTGTGTGAGTAGGCATGTGCAGGACTCACAAGGTCATAGAAAACATTTTCAAAGTTACAAAGCAAAACGTCCATATTTCCTGATAGCATGAAATATTGACAGTGCAGGTGAGATTAAAGCTTGCAGCAATGTACAAGAGTCTAAACACTACATGCATTCTGATAAGACTCCTATCTGTTTTGAATAAAAACCCCTAGTATATAGGTGAGCTGGCTGAGTTTCCAGCTGTGAATCTGTCCGTTCTTAGCTGATGCTTACAGCCTTAGCCAGATCTGGCACTTGGTTAGTATCACATCTAACATCAGAGGTTTTTTAAAAATGGGTTGGACCAGCAGGTGTTAAGGATGGTCTAGGTTTACAAGGTCCTTCCACAACAACCTAGAATGCTCTGGTTCTTTGCAGCCCTATTTTTCTATGGCAGTGTTTGGTCTCCAACTCTTTTAAGCACAAGATCACTTTTTTGAATATAAGTGCAATCTAGGATCTACCTCAAACCCAAACACCCTGGCCCCGCCTTCTTCCCACCGTTTCTCTGAGGCTCCGCCCCTGCTCACTCCATCCTCCCTCCCTCCTCCTCCTCATTCACTTTTATCAGGCAGAGGGCTTGGCTGCAGGGGAAGGGGATGCAGGCTCTGATCTTGGGATAAAGCGAACTTGGAGCATGGGAGGGGCGCTGAGCTGAGCCTGGAGCTGGGAACTGAGGTGCAGGAGGGGGTTCCAAGTTCTGGCTCTGGGAGGGAGTTTGGGTGCAGGGGGGACTCAGGGCTAGGGCAGGGATTTGGGGTGCAGGAGGGGTTCAGGACTGGGGCCAGGGTTCAGAATGTGGACTCTGGTTGGGCACTGCTTACCATGGGTGGCTTCTGGATGGTGGTTCTGGAGTATTACCCCTACCCTGGCCCTGCACCACCCCCAAAAGCAGCCAGCAAACTCTCTTCATCCCTCTCCCTGCCCTGCTCTGTGGAGATGAGGTACGGGGGAGGGGAGGGCACCCAAATATCAGTACCCCCTCTTCTTCTTCCCATGCCTTGCACAGCAAGCAGGAGGCTCCCAGGGGTGGGAGGCAGCTCCAAGGCAGAGGGCAGACGGGGGCAGATGAAGTGCTGGCCCTAGATAGCCTCCCAGCCAAACCTGTCAGGATCCCCTGTCAGAGGCTCCCAATCGCACCCAGGAGAGATTCAAATGCCACCCCGCTGCTTAGCAGAGCACCCACAGTGCCCACAACTTGCAGCATGTCTCCCCACTGGGGGTGCACATCCCCTTATGCCTTGGTGCGCATAACAAAATTAATGAGAGGAAACATTGGTCTATGATGGAATATTCGTCAGCCATTTATTACATAATTCTAGAGATCACCACAAACGTTCCTTTACCGTGTATTTAATCTCCTGGGAAACAACAGAGTTTTGGCTGGGATGATAACACTGCCATGATTCTGGGCCAGGAACTATCACACACTTGCAGAAGGGAGCCGGAGGAAGAAAAAAGCCCTCCTCTATTGGCCCTTAGCTACTCACTCCCTTCCTAGAGCAAGTGTGTTGGGGACAGGTGTGTCCTTGGTTCCATCCTCTTGCTGGTCCCCACAGCTCAACAAGCTGAAATGAAGTGGGAAACATGGACAAACTCCCTTCCGGGCCGCTGAAAAGCTCAGCCTTGCCATGGGTGCGAGCTAGCACACTCCTCCCTCGCCCGAGGCGTGGAAGAAATTGTGACCCAGAAAAGCATTTCCAGGGCCCCCCCAGGGCTGTTCCTGGATTGTCAAATAGATACAGCGTGGCAGAGGCGGCACTTAACTGCAGATAGTGGGGGACACAATTTAAAGGTTCTGTGGGGGCCCTGTGACCGCTCCACTGAGGTTCTTAAATTGTGTGAGCTAAGCAGCGCTACCAGGTGGCTTGGGTGAGCAGTGCCAATTGACTTAGGACAGTCTTGTGGGGGGAGGGGGCCAACCATTCTGTCCAGTTGGGGGGGCCCAATCAAAGAATCTGGGGGACGCCAACAAGGGAAAATGTTTTTTTTTCTATAGCATGTGTGACTTTCTAGCTTTGGTTGAATAAAATAAGTTATTTTTTTTCTCTCCTGTAGATTCATTCTTTTTGTGCTAAGAGGAAGATCTCAGTTTAGCTATGCTGTTGGCCTTGAGGCTTTAGGTATCAAGAAGAGATTATTACAGAGATCAAACTGAATGCTGATGCAAGGGAGTATCTCATGCCTTTGGAGAATTTGAAAAGGGAAAAGGAACATTGTCAGTTCAATCTACTGTAGAATTTACAGTATTAATGATCTGAAGAACACTTTAGGGATTTCTATCAGATGTCTATTTTAATTTAACCTCTTGGGTGTTTAACTATCCAAAATATTGAGTTCCACTCATTACAAAAACTAATAACTGGCTTATTTTGCTGCTAATTTAGAGAGTAAGGTTAATTATCTATAGTGAAGTGGAAAGGCACTAATCTAAAGTCCTACCTGCATTAGGCACCGTGGTTAATTGATTCCCCATGAAATGATAAAAGACGCCTTCTGAGCAAAGAGATTTTTAATATGTTCGGCTTTGTGAAAGGCACTTTCACATCTCATGAAAGGTTGTTTAGTTGGCTTTACCGGCTCTTCCTTTCGTTTTTAAAAAAAATGGAAAATGGCCCTTGGGAATTCTATAATTTACCTATTGGATTAAATCTAAAATACTCACATAGTAAATGTGTGCAAAGACAACCCTTTGCTCCCGTATTCAAGTCACTAGGAACTGTTTGGATGCTAGTGCTTCTGAAAATCAATCCCAGTATTTAGGAGCCTAACTAATGATTTAGATGAGGACTTAGACACCCAGTTTTGAAAAAGTTGGCCCCATATTAAGCTTATTCATACTCATGTCACCCCATTGGCTTTCATAGGACTACATGGGTATGTCTACACTAGCCTCCTAGTTCAAACTAGGGAGGCTAATGTAGGCATTCAAAGTTGCAAATGAAGCCCGGGATTTAAATATCCCAAACTTTATTTGCATCTTCCCATCCGGGCCCCGTTTTTAAATCCCCCTAGTCCGAAATAACTACCCGTGGCTACACGCGGCAGTTAAATGTTAATTTGAACTAAGTCTTTAGTTCAAATTAACTGTTACACCTCATTCCACAAGGTGTAACAGTTAATTCGAACTAAGGACTTAGTTCGAATTAACGTTTAATTCGGGGGATTTAAAAATGGTGCCTGGACGGGAAGATGCAAATAAAGCCTGGGATATTTAAATCCCGGGCTTCGTTTGCAACTTCAAATGCCTACATTAGCCTCCCTAGTTCGAACTAGAGGGCTAGTGTAGACATACCCTATAGGTGTAAGTAGAAGAGAAGGTAAGATTTGACTTGGTCTGACATGTCCAAAGCCACTGTGATGGGGCATACCACTCTGCACTCTTCAGGAGGGGGTTAACTCAGCCCCAAGGTAAAGGGGAGGCCACACTCCCTTTAGTTTACTGGGCATGCTCCAGCTGCACTAGTATAAGAGAGAGCTGCTCAGCTCAGTTGGGGTGGGCGGCTGGCGGAGAAGGAGCTCTGGACCAAGCTTGTGAGCAGGTGCAGCCACCGCCTCAGCAACAGCCTCGGTCAGTAAGGCCAACCGGGAGGCACCAGCTCGCCGAGCAACACTCCTATGAACACACTGCGTGTGGGGACCGGTAGGAAGTGGCCCAGGGTGGAGGATTAGCCTCTGGGATCTCAGTGCGCTTCGGCAAGACTCCCTGCTGAGCAGGCTGTGTAATCTGCCACTGCCGACAGGACCCTGGGCTGGGACCTGGTGGAGTGGGAAGGCCTGAGTCCCTCTATTTTTCCCCACCCCATGACAACCCTGCTCCCCCGCTCGTCGAGCAAGGCCAGTAAGGCCGGCCGTCAGTACCCTGAAGGAGGGTAAGTGTGTTTGGAGGCCATATTTAGCCTAGTGGGGGTGAACTGGATTTAGGGGGCTAAGTTGTAGTTACTGTATTAACCCTAATAGGAGTGAACTGGATTTTGGGGTAAGCCATAAGTGCCGTATTTACCTAATAGGGGTGAACTAGACTTTGGGACTAGGCCCAGGAGGCTGAACCAGCCCTAAGCGAGGAACGGCACTTTGGGAGGATTAGTAAGGGGTGCCTCAGGCACTACGATGCCCCTTGACAGCCACACAGCAAGTCTGTCTCAGAGATGGGATTATTACCCCAAGCCCTCTAATTTCCAGTCGTGTGCTCTATCCACTGTGCCGTTCTCAAGGGCTCTGGATTTCCCCACTCTGCCACTGGTTTATTTATTAAAAACACATTCTAAGCCAACTGCAATCCACTCAAAAATTTATTTCAACTTCCGCCAAAGAGTATTTGTCAATGTCCAGTATTGTAATTCATTATATTGTATTATAGCATACTCCACAACATAGTAGTGTGGGAACTCCGATGATGTAGTGCGGTCACCATGTATAATATATCATATGAGCAGTTTCAAGTTGGATGATATATTAAGCCAGCTTGGGAGAATTTTGAAAACACACTTAAATTTCTAGAATTTTTATATATATAAAGTTTAAGTGGTTGATGGCTTCATCCTAAGAGTTTATTGCACATCTAAATCATTTTTCTCTTGCCCACCACAGACTCAGCCAGCAACATCCATTAACCCATTGGGCTTGGTAAGTTTGCTGACCAGTTTGCAGTGCTGAAATCTCCACAGCTGCAGCTCACAATGCCATATTACCTTGATTTTGTTGTGTCTTTTAAACACAGATGGTATTACAAGTAATTGCAACCTGATAATGGGCAAGTCAGCTGAGCTCATGAACAATGGGGGGAACATGTGTGTATGTATGTCTCCTATTGGATATAATTAGAAAGTCCCACAGTGTGTCATTGGCCATATACTCCCACTATGGAGAGTCCTTGGCGTACAGATAGTTTGGATTAGAAGCCTAATCCGAACTATCTAGTCCATGCCGCGTGTAGCCGCGCAGCACGGGGTTCGCACTAGCCGGCTTTTAAAAATGGCGGCGCTGGCTTTATGCTAATGAAGCCTGGGAAATTCAAATCCCGGGCTTCATTAGCAAGTTCGGTATGCATACATTACCCCCCTAGTTCGAACTAGGGGGGTAGTGTAGACATACCCTAAGATACTAAGCTGGGGGGAGAAGTAGACATGCTGGAGGGTAGGGACAGAGTCCAGAGTGACCTAGACAAATTGGAGGATTGGGCCAAAAGAAATCTGATAAATTTCAACAAGGACAAGGGAAGAGTCTTGCCCCATGGGACAGAAGAATCCCAAGCATTGTTACAGGCTGGGGACCAACTGGCTAAGCAGCAGTTTGGTGGAAAAGGATCCAGGGATTACAGTGGGTGAGAAGCTGGATCTGAATGAACAGTGTGCCCTTGTAGCCAAGAATATTAGGTTGCATTAGGAGGAGCATTGCCAGCAGATCTAGAGAAGTGATTATTCCCCTTTACTCAGCACTGGTGAGGCCACATCTGGAGTATTGCGTCCAATTTTGGGCTTCCCATTACAGAAAGCATGTGGACGCATTGGAGAAAGTCCAGAGGAGGACAACAAGGATGATTAGATGGCTGGAGTACTATAAGAGGAGATTGAAAAAAATTGGTTTGTTTAGTCTGTAGAAGAGAAGACTAAGAGGGGACATGATAACAGTTTTCAGTACATAAAAGGTTTTTACAAGGAGGAGGGTGAAAAATGGTTCTCATTAGCCACTGAGGTAGAACAAGAATCAATGGGGTTAACTTGCAGCCAGGGAGGTTTAGTTTGGAGGGGGGGGAGGATATTAGGGAAAACTATTTATTAGGACGGTGGTGAAGCACTGGAATGGGTTCCCTAGGGAGGTTGTGGAATCTCCATCCGTAGCAGTTTTTCCAGTCCCGGCTTGATAAAGCCCCATGTGGGATGATTTAGTTGGGATTGGTCCTGCTGTTAGCAGGGGGTTGACTTTCTGAGCTCTCTTCCAACCCTAGGAATTTATGATTCTACTGTGTCAGCAGTGGGAAAGAAAAGGTGCAGTGTTAAACAACAGTAGATGACTGATGGAATTTGTAAACAGTCAGTACAAAGACAGATGAAATGAAGAGTATCAAAAGTTGCACACATTCAAAGTATGCAAAGAGGCAAAAGAAAAAAAGGGGAGCAGCAAAGATGCAAGAAAATCAAAGAATTTGAAATCAGACACAAACACAAAGAAATTCATCACATTATAAAAAGACCCATGAGACTAATAAGTCAAGAAAAGGAGTTAGCCGTGTTAAAAACTAAGGACTGCTGAGTATTCTGTGAAATCAACAGCATCCTGTAACATGGATGAAATACCTTCATTAACTTTCATCTTAAAATAAACTGGAAATGTAACCATCAGAAGAGGAGAAGAAAAACCATTGTAGAAATTACAGTGTGGGAACAAGAAAGAACACTGAAAAGTATAAAGTGAGGAAAAGCAGTTGGGAAGAATGATATTGTGGTTGAAATGCTACAAACCTACCTGAAGATTCAAAATCTTACCTCCTAACATTTTTCAATTGAATTATATACACAGGAACTTCCAGAGAACTTCAAAAGATCATCTCATTTCTCTATCAAAAATTAAAATTAGAGAATGTGAATAACACTAAACTATAAGCCTGATAAGCTACCCACACAAAGTTTGAAAATAACCAGCACACACATATATCACCATAAAAAGGCAAGAATTAGTAGAAGTCACTTTGATTTCCAGCCAGGAATAGGCATGAGGCAATATGCCCTGAGGTTCTTGAGGGAGCATGCAACAGAAGCACAAGTGGAAATTTATATGAGCTTTGTCAATTTTGAGAAGACATTTGATTAAATATAGCATGACAAGATGATACATACTCTTGAAGAATGGATTGACTTTCAAGACCCATAATGAATCCAAAGCTTATTCTGGGGACAGAAAGCAGCAATATGAACAAGCTATGCAACATCAAGAAAGGTTTATGCCAAGGCTGCATCCTAACTTGAAACTATTACAGAAGGACTGGCGAGGGAAAGTTTAGAAGGCACCAACCAGGACATAGGGGTCAGTAGCATATACTTAAACAAAATAAGATCTGCAAATGTTTGTATCACTTTAAGAAAGGAAAAACTTCAGAACATACTTACTACTGTGAATACTGCCAGTGAAAATATGTAACAACAATTAATGTTAGAAAGACGAAGTAAATGTAAACACAATATTGCTCAAGGTAGGACGATTCTTATTATCTCGATGATCAAGTGCTGAAACAAGTGAATCGTTTCCTTCATTAGGGAATCTAATGGAAGAAGCAACATAGAATCCAGAGAAGGGTACAGCATGCAAACACTGCATTCAAAACCTTCCAAAGACTGAGGTGTTGTCTGAAGTTAAAATTACACATTCACATCAGAGGTGACGTCTAAACTGCAGGCTTCTTTCAGAAGAAGATTTTCCAGACAAGATCTTCTGGAAAAACTTTTTCCAAAAGAGAGCGTCTACCCAACAAAAGCGAGCTGCTTTTTTGAAAGAGGGCGTCCACATTGACTGGATGCTCTCTCGCATTTAAGGCCACCCAGAGCCAGTTCAGGCAGGGCATTAAGTCAGCAGTTGCTTCCGAGTGCTGTTGCCTAAGGCTAGCTGAGACACCTGCTTAAAGGGCCCCCCCTCTGGAAAAACTTTTTCCAAAAGAGAGCGTCTACCCAACAAAAGCGAGCTGCTTTTTTGAAAGAGGGCGTCCACATTGACTGGATGCTCTCTCGCATTTAAGGCCACCCAGAGCCAGTTCAGGCAGGGCATTAAGTCAGCAGTTGCTTCCGAGTGCTGTTGCCTAAGGCTAGCTGAGACACCTGCTTAAAGGGCCCCCCCCCCCCGGACAGCCATTTCTCTGCTTCTGCTGCCTGCTTGCCTACCTCTCTGAGAGGCAGGAAAACTCTTGGGCTACATCTACATTGGCCCCTATTACGGAATAGGCATGCAAATGTAGCACTTTGGAAGAGGCAAATCC